TTTGACATTATTTACAGAAGATACGTTACGAAAGTGTCGAACAATTTTAAAACAGAGAAAGGTGCATAATCTCAAATTTAAGGATGTTGTTTTGCCCGTTGATTTGTTTGAAAGTGGTTATCATAGGCAGTGTTACAAGTCATTTACAGGATTGATGAAAAAATATTATTTGCCAAAATCTACGTGTACTGAAAAGACTACTCCAGAGGAGAAATTAACAAATATTCCAGAGAAACAATCGACAGCGTGCTTTTCAGGATCTGAAATTGATACACAGTGTACTGAGCCACAACCATCCGTTTCACAACCTTTAAGTCCAGCAACTTCTACACCGAACTCCCAAACAATACTTGAGTTACTTGAACCGGTCCCATCACATTCACAAACAAGTAATGTACTGCTGGAAAATATTACTTCCTCTTGTGAAATTAATATGTCGACTGAAAGTGATGCAAGTATTGCTCCCAATAGTGCTACTTGTATATTTTGTAATCAAAAAACCAAAAAACTTCGTTCAAAAAGATTGCCTTTATTTTCATCAAACAAAAAAGACTTTCTGTGGAAAATACATCAATGGAAGGATGAAAATTTTACAGATTTAATTGATAAAGTAACAAATTATCCATGTATAAAAGTCTACTATCATAATAAATGTCAATTGGATTTTTCATATAAGGCATCTTCAAATAAAAAAGCAACTAAAACGCGTTGGCATGATCTTCGTAATTATCATCAAATGGCTTTTGAAAAAACATGTAACTTTGTTGAAGAAAATGTAATTAAGAAAGGACACTGTTTTTTTCTGACTTATCTTCATAGGTACTATATGGAATTATTACAGGAAATTGATGAAGAAAATGGTAGTAAAAATTTTACACCACACAATTTAGAACTTAAGCTGATAAAGTTATTTGATAAAGATATTAAATTTTTTATCATACAAAATAAAAAAGTATTAGCTCCAAAACATTTAAAAAGTATTGATGAACAATCATATGAACATTTGAAAGATGAAGATATACTACACAAAGCTGCTTTATTATTGAGAAAATCTATTTTACAAATCGAGAAGAAAAAATTACCACAACATTTAACAGTACAAAATTTACAGGAAGGAGAAGCAACAGTTCCACTTGAATTAATGAATTTTTATTCTACTCTGATAGCTGGTAGAAATCAAGAACAAAAAGAAAATTCCAAATGTATTCAACAAGTTAAATCATATTGTGAAGATATCATATATGCTGTCCACAATGGTACAGTCAGACCGTCCAAACACATAATGCTTGGAATGTCTTTGAAGAGTTTAACTAGTAGCCCCAAAATTATAGATATTATTCATAGGTATGGCCATTGCATTAATTATACTGGAATTGAGGAGTTGGAGACAGAAGTGACAAATACTTAATTACAGAAGTTGAGTATATGTCCTGAAACAATAAAAAATCCCCAAGTCTCTGCACCGGTGTTGCTTATTCATAGAAAAAAAGAATAAAAAAGATACATTACACGATAATGTTGGCATTATTTATCAAAATATTGATTTGAAAAGATCAGAAGAAACACAATTACCAAATTTACTTTGATGCAAGCAACTTACCACCGTGTAAGACTGAACTTCAACAGCAGTCCTGGAGAGCAAATTGCATCGCTAGTCTCTGGAATAATGCTCATATGAAGATGCTCGGTATTTTCAGACCAGAGAATAAAAGATGGGAGTAGACAACCAATATCAATTTAATTGGTTTGATGGAGACCAATTACCAGCTTTCGTCAGTGAAGCGCTTGACAAAAACTTAGGTATTTTTCTTAAATTTCTCTTATATATATGTAGCTATTTTAGTCATAATTATGATATTTTATTTGATTTTACAGAGACAGAAACAAGTAATACATAGACACTCAATACAAAGATTGGCTGGATGACAAGTTCTCAAATACCAATGAGGACGATGACGAATTTTAAAAACTAAGATATAATTATGAATAAAGAAGGAATTCATCTTAATTACTTTTTTTTTATAATGTTTGCTTTACAAATTTCTCTATGTTTTGTAGAAAAATACAAATAATTATTTTTTACAGAATAAAATGCTATTAACAATATTAATTTTTTAGTTACTTTTCCTATGAACTGTTCCACTCATAACTTAATAATTTCTATCATACTGAAATTTATAATTTGTAATTGGGCACTAAAAAATGGTTTAATTATTATTAAAAATACTACAAGACTGAACTACAACAAATCCAATGGGCCTGTGATATAAAACCGCGAAAACATTATGTGCGCGTTAATAATCATGACGAGATTTTAAATATGTCTGGGAGATATTTTGCCCCTAGAATTTGTCAGGCTGCATAGAAATAGTGTAAAAATAATTTCTAAAATATCATATGTAAAAATCAAGACTCAGACTTTGAGTAAACTTACCTTATTTTATGCAAACTTTAAAGCGTCTGGCGGAAATTACAGCCGACGAAAACGTTCTGGCAATATTAATTTTAAATTTTAATACAATTTTTTAAAATATATATAAAAATCAGTTCTCAGAATTTAAGACATGTGACCAATATTTTTATGCACCTCTAGAACCTGGTACCTGCGAATTGTCCGCCTGCCCTGGGCTCGTCTGGCGGCCCTGGGCTCTTGGACTATTACTAATCTTAGTTATACAAGGACCAGTTAAGATATTGCTTAAATGTGTGGCTGTACAGGATCGTAACGTATTTGATTAATAACCGGTGATGTACAGCGGTCTACTTGTTTAAATTGTCTAAAAGTTTTTAAGATTTTAGCCCCTTGCAATAAGTACCTAGTTAAATTAGAACATGGGGAAATACCATCCTCTCACAACAGTCTTTAATGGTTGCTTTTCGTCCGAAAAGTGAGAGAGCCGATTACCATTTCCCTTTTCCCACTCTTTTTGTTTTTCTCTTCCACATTGAAGCTTTTCAACACAGCCACAAAGTTCTTCTTATTTTTATCACTGTTTATCGCTGGGCCATGTACAAAACGGTCTATAATAAGTTTCCATTTGAAGTTTAGTATTTTAAAAATGCCTTAAAGTAAAATTAACTAATAAATTAGTCATTAAGAAAGACAGATACAGGATTTATAATTTATTATAGGACTTTTTAATATCAAAACATCTATAATACCATAGTTTATTCATTATCTATATCCTTCTATGTATATAGAGACGAGCTAGAACATTAATTTTTTCTTGAGACACTAAATAGTTTGAGGAGGAAAAACTCCTTTCATCAGAATAATAGGTAGCCGGAGTGTAAATTGCAATTCCGAAAGCTATATCCAAATTAAGAAAAACATTGGATAGAGATTGATTTCTCATAAATTTTAAGAGACGTGTTTGACTTTTACCGTCCAACATAGAGTGACTGACCTCTGAAATCTGCACCCCAAAAGTTGCAGCTTATACGCCGGCCTGTTTATAAATCCACGACTGATGACTGTGACTACCTTCTATCAGATGCTACTTTGTCTCTTTGATTCCCTACTAACTTTTATGGAGGCTTGGGTGTAAATTTAAAAGAAGAATGATAGATTAGTTATTCTTCGACTAATCTTATTTATGAACACTTGTGGGAGCCGCTATCCAATATATGTAGAAAATTAGAAAACAGTAACTATAGCAGATATGTTAAGAGAATTTAAAATATTAAACAGTAAGTAGGTACCTATATCAAAATCCATAGTATTAAACGTATTACTTACGTATTATCAAATAAGCCTTACACTGTGATCCATTTCGCCATTTTTTCCTGAATATCATTTGTTACTCTAACGAAAGCAGTAGTCTATGACGAAAACGGGATTATTTAGGCGAGATAAAAGATTTGATAGTAAAAGGAAAGCACTCTATTTCTGTTGAGTTAAACAATAAACATACACCCCAGTACATTGGATAAGACAGTTATTATAGACTTGGGTCCGTAGCCGGATTAAAGGGATGGGTTTCTATTTTTTAGGTAACGAAAATTTTCAACGTGTTACCAAGGGACTGGAAAAATTTTTGGAATTATAAATATGAGTTGAAATAGGAAGTAGAACTGAAAGTATGGAAATAACCATTTTATGACTTAGCAGTCAGAACTGATATTGGATTTTATTGCCATATGCTCTTCACAGCATAAGTTTTGGAAAACAGACTTAAGTTTGAATCTGAATAATGAAATTTACTATCTTCACATGTTTTAAGAAATTCTATTTTTCTTTTCATTATTAAAAGGCAATTTGGTGAACTATATTTAATAAAATTACGAAACAAAACACAGTAATAATTATGTTCCTTTAGTCTTGACTCTAGAGTTTTAGTATACACTTCTGAAGTTAATAGGTGTTTAATGTCAAATTATTATAATTTTATAGCTTGTTGTGCCTTAAGGATAGACATTTTAAAAGGATTTAGGTATAAAATGTACAAACCAATGTTAACTAATTAATCAGTGACAATAAAAATAAGGTAGACACTTAGGTTTGAAAATATAAGGGCCTGAATATTTTCTTTTTATCAATTAACTTATGTCTTTCTAGGCAAGTTACTACTTTGCTCCATTAACAATGACAATAAATCTACTCTGTTACCAAGACAAAGTTTGCTAAGCTTCTAAGATTTAGTATTCAGAACAAAGATATATGATAAAGTAAAAGTGTTCACATAAACATATTCGAAAAAATACAGGGTTTTTGGGAAAACTATTAATTAGTAGATGTTACTCAACGAAACATAATAATTTCACATTGAAAATCTGCACAACATTCACTCAACAGACATCTGTATTTTAGTTTTATGAAACAATAACAGCCAAATGTCACTAAACTTCTTACAAGAGTTAATGCAAAAATAAAAAGTTTGTTATAAAATATGTTATCAAACAAACAGAAGTCATTAATATTTAAAAGAATTATTAATGCAAAGGAATAAGGTAATGGATATAAAATGATAGACAATAATCAGCTTACAAGTTTAATATCCTTATATTTCGTCCTGTACAACAGTAGTTTTCTCAGACACATAGAGACCATCCAAGAACTTTCTGATATCCTTGTTTTTAACGGTCGTGGATTGCTGGATGAGGGCTGCCGAGCTGGAGACATCTTCGATCGAGTTGCCTTCAATGATAAGCTCGTCCTTTTGTTTTGTTGAGTTGACAACAGTTACTCCTGGTGCCATCTTTACCCTCCTGATGTATTTCTCTCCCAAGAAATTACGGATCTCAATTACAGAGTTGCCTTCCGTTGTGACGCAGTTGATGGGGAAATGGGCGTATACGGCACGCATTTTGTATTGGAAACCCTTTGTCACACCTGAAATATTATATGGAAATTAAATTATAGATAGATAGGCATTAATAAATAGAAACATTGATATTTTTCAAAAAATCCACGTTTATTTACTGTGAGACCTAGAATTAATATTAATAATGTTGCTGTTGACATAATAATAAGAGTTAAAACCTAATAAAAACATAGAATCTCATCTCTACACAGTAATGTAAACTTAACAGCCTGACAATGGATTCAAACAGCAATGATGCAAAGTAAGACACAAATTAAATGCTAAACACTACTATTATACTTTGGAATAACTGTAACAGGTGCATGAAGCAGAAACATTAAAAGAAAACATGGTCAACAATCGTACACGTTATGTCCAAAACTTACCCTTGATCATGTTGTCAACATGAGAGCACACAGTTCTTACTGCAGCAAGCTCTTTCTTGGATCCAAACCATTTCTCAACCTTCAATAACCGAGGGTTCACCATGCGAATATCAACTGCCAAGTGTTTGAAATTCCTTTTTAAAACACCTCGGGGGCCTTTCACTGTCACTAGACGAGATTTCACATGAACAGTCAACCCCTCAGGGATTTTCACTTTTTGATTAGCAACGATTTGCTTCATCTTGAGGCCTAAAAATAAATTAAACGAATCAACATAACCTGACTTAACTTTGACAATGCACAAACATAACTTTATGACAAAAAAAATGTAAAATATATTGGGAAACGTGTAAACAATGTTGAGGAGCACTTAAAATAATTTTCACACACTATAAATATAATAAATTCTTATGATTCTTTCGGATTTTTGTTTTACAAACAAAATTTTAGCTTACTTCAATGACACCGAGAGCCGGAAAAGAGCGAGAGGTGTTGCCACTTGTGGATACAACGATGACATATATTTAGTTTAATAACTTTTAGCAGGGTTTGTGAAACATTAATAATAATAATTTAAATAAAATTGTTCAACTACATTAAGCGAACAAGTATAATACTTAATATCTAAAGTTAATAAAAAAGATACTATCTTGCAATAATTTTTTTTTTATTTTATTTTACTTGTTTGTAACATTTAAAATTAATTGTGGTGCTAATAAAATAAATATTGAATTAAAGGTACTTACATATCGTTATTTTTACGCTAATTAATTAATTTTATATTATAAAGAAAATATTATATGGCTTATACATATCTGTATTTTTATTATAAAACTTTCATAAGTTAAATAATTAAACTCCAATTTTAACACAATTGATATTGCGATTTTGGAATATATAGATCTGATCCTACAAGATTAAACATATAACATTTTTTAGACTTCCAAAAACTTCATATAATTTATTTCACAAAAAGGTTAATTGTAAAATTATATTATGGATGATATATTTAATTTCCGTGTTTCTAAATAGTACTTGTCAATGTCAAAATCTTAGGTTATAATATTCAAACATTACCTAAGGTGTTTTCATTCAAATAAACTCGCTATAATGTTACTGAGAAAATTAATTTTCAATAAAGGACCTATAGGCAGCACTATATTTCAGAGAGGTATAATGTTATTATGATATAGATTAAAAATAATTATCATGTTTATAATGAAAAGTAATTCATTTTCAATAAACTATACAGGTAGGTCTTCTTGGGATATAGTAACAAGTGTGTGTGTTGAAAGACTACCAGTTGTAACGCCACCCTTGAATGATATACAAAAGAGATTTAAAGAATTATTGTGGACAGTGGAAGTTGAAAAGAGTCTCAAATCAGATCACGAGTTAAGACACGAAAATGACAAGTAAGTTGTATTGTTGTTGTAAAGAAAATTTATTTTTTGCTTTGTCAATAAAAACATAAAATACAACCTAGTCATGGTAAGAGTTTTCAAAACTATAAATTGAAGAAGTTTTCAATTATCATATCAAATTTTATTTACAATTCTTCATTGTGTGTTTAAATTTTCATTTCTGTAATGGGCTTATAATGAGTTTCTGATATGGGAATATAAACTCCAAACTACTTATAAGAAACTATATAGAGCTCCAGAGGATTATAAGGTTCTGGCATCCTTATAATCCTCTAAAATCCTCCATGGCTCTCTGTATTAATAAATGTTATGATTCTAGGGAGACCAAAATCCCCAAACACTATGTAACCAAGATCAATAAGAATTACTAACCCACTAACCAAATTTTAAAGATTGACCCCACAACCGCAGGGGGAATCCATGAATACTGAAAAGTTTCATTGCTATAAAAATATTTAAAAAAATCTTGCCTTAATATAATAACTGTAAACAAATCTTGCTTGTTAATACTGCTTAAATAATATAAACATATATACTGTATCGATGATTATAAAATGTGTATTTTGTTTTTAAAAGTATATTTATTTTGTACCAAAACCTCATCTTTGAATTTTGTTGTATTTCTGTTACAGGGTGCAGGCTGAGCTTCTGAAAAATGAATCAATAGAAGTAGATTTGGATGCTGTAAGTAAAATAACTGCCCAAGACTTTGAAGATGCTTCACAAGATGAATTATCAAAATTTAAATTTGCTGATATTGTAACCGGTAATATATAGATATTTAAATATTATATAACTTTATACAGTAAAGGTGGCACTTCACTCGGCGTCGCGTATGCGCCGCATTTAGCCAAATATTTGTATCAAGTCCAAATAATGCAAAAACAACATCTACACTCGGCATGCCAATAACACGTCTTTACACGTTTTGGCTTATTTGTGTGTGTGTCTTATTTGTGCAAATATGTCAAATGAAGACAAATATATCCTCCACACATGGTCTTATTTGGCCGACACAACCCATAAACACCAAGTGAAGTGACAAATTTAAGATATCTACCAGAAATATATGTTAGAAAGATTATTAAAAATCATCTTTATATATATGAGGATAAGATATATATTAGAATATTTTTCTTACAGAAGCCGATAAAAATGGTGATAAAGGGACATATGAAAGATGCTTACAACGACACTTGGTTTTGGTGACTGATGTCAAATTAGGTAATAAGGTTTGGAAATTAATGCCTCAAGGTTTGTGGAAGGAGGGTGAATCATTGAGACAGGTAATGTATTGTAAGGAAACATTGATTTCTTAATAACTTATTTAGTTTAATGACCTTAGAAAATCTTTTGTATGTATATAATATATGTAAAAAAGTCTTTGTTTGTATGAAAAATAAAATTATGTTATGCAGCAAAATTGAAACCATAAAAGTTACTTATGTAAAAATGGATTTAAATAAGAAGAATAAGTTTATGTGAAATTTAATTGAAATCGTGTTTATGTGTTTAATATAAATTGTTAAAAATATTTCAGACTGCTGAGAGAGTAATATCTGAACAATGTGGACCAGAGTTGAAAGTAAAATTCTTGTCAAATGCTCCCTGTGGGTTCTACAAATACAAATATCCAAATGAAATTGATGGGAAAATTGGTGCTAAAGTAAGTTTAGTATAATTTACAACAAATATGGGATTTGTAACACCATTTTTTACACTTATAAAGGAAGATACATATAAAAAATAAATAAAGAGATTTATAATATGACTAAAGATTTTAATGTGAACAAAAATTTAATTCAACATACTTTTGTAACATTTATTTCATTTTAAGGTATTCTTCTACTATGCAAATCACGATAATGGTGAAGTAAGCAAAAAATTAAACCCCAATTGGCTGACAAGAAAGGAAATGGTTGAAGCATTACCAGACAGATACAACAAATCCGTTCAAAGTTTCCTGATAGAAGAACATTTTTAATTATTTTATAATTAAACCTACCATAAGTGTAATTTAATAAAGATAGTATTAGTTAACAAAGAGTTTTTAATTAAACCTTTCTTAAACCTCTTGATATAGAATGTGATTGTATTGCAAAATTATAATTATTATTTGGAATGATTATGTACAAACTTTGCTGGTGAATACTTTCCTATGTGTATTATCTATGTTTGTAGAACCAAAAAACAAATTATGGGATTGTGGCACTGAGAAATATTAGAAGAAGTCTTGCATGATAAACAAAAAGAAGGGTGATTGACTTTTGTTACCCTCACACAATATGGAAGACAGTTAAAAATTATTATTTTCTATTTCTTATGTGATGTTAAGGAAGTAATGTGTAAATGTGACCATAAGGAATTGGTACATATTCCATTTTTATAGCTAGAACAAAATTATGATTGTCACTTAAATTTTTGGTAACAATTTTAAATTATATATATGAGGCTAATAGGGGTTTTGAGCTTTATTTCTTTTCTGTTTAGTCTGAGAGACTGGAATGTCATAAGGATTCTTATATTTATTTTTAACAAAGGGATATCAGAAACTATAAAGTATAAAATTACCAAAACAGTTACTAAAATAAACATATTATTTCTAATACCACACATAAACGTCAGATGGCGCTATTATAAATATTTCAAAAATTTTTTAAGCAATTTTTGACTTTAAATATTTCAAAACTAGAAGACCTGGCGAATTTCGTATCGCCCTATAATCTAGAATTATCTGTTACGTTTTCTTATTTATATTTTTGGAGTTTACCTGTAAGCCATAAATCTCCGTGTTTTGAAGTGCGACAGAATGATTGACATATTAGTTGTCAAATCTAATGTCAAAAAAACGTTTGTATGGGAAATAGAAAAGGGCTGTTTTTATGGTTTTCCCAGTAATGAATCAATTTTTTTCAGCTTTTATACCTTCCCTGAACCTCCACGAACATTTCAAGACTAAGATAAGATAAATCCGTTCAGCTGTTCTCTAGTTTTAGCGAGACTAAGGAACAGCAATCCATTTTTATATATATAGAAGATAAACAGGTATTCGACTTCATTTTTATGTCCCCTAGCATTTGATACAAAAATAATAATCGTTGTATTATATTGATTTAATTAAAAATAATATTTGTATTGGAACTTATAGTTCTTTTTACATTTTGTGTTATTTTACGTTATTTCAAATAAAAAAAACTTTTCAAATTTAAGTCGCTTACAATTATTAATATGTATAGTTTGTATAATAATAAATAAATTATGTTCCACCAAAATCTCAAAGAAAATTACAATTCTTTTTGATTTAATAAAGTTGTTTATTATGTTAAAACATGTTGTTTTATTATGGCTAGACAACTCATAGGTATGTTATATTGGTCATTCAGTAGTATATTATTTTATTTATTATACTACCAAAAGTATATTCTAATCAGTTCAAAACAAAAAACAACGTAATTACGTAGATATTAAATGATCCGAAATATACAAGATTATAGTTGAAGTTTGTATCATGAATTCTGAATTAAATAACAATTCTTTCTCATGCAAATATATTAAAAAAATTGAATTAATTTAGCATTTTCTCGAGAATGTCTAAAGAGGCATTTATAGTTTGTTTTCTCAGAGTCTCTTTAAATTGAGAAGCTTTTGAAATTAATTTTATCAACATAGATTTTTACATGACAACTGGTTTCGTAAGATTAAAACATTGAGGTAATAATAGACCGATGAATTATATAAGAGAAATAATTAAGAATATAACATAATGTTGTTTAAAAGTGTGTTTTAGTTCAGTATAAAAAATATAGAATTACGATAAGACTGATAAATTTTAATCAAACTTTTATTGAAATGTTTCTTTTTTAACGAAATTATAGACTATACAAAGCACGAGCCAATTTTTTCAAAACATTTCTTTAATTTTTAATTTAAAAAAATGAAACATGCATTTAAGATATTATATGTTAAGATATTATATTATACTCTATTAAATAACGTTTGGGGTTACCATGTAAGATAAATAATCGTGTTTATAAATTACGTAAGTAAAATAATAATTTTACCTCGTGTTTTAGTTGAGAAATGCTTTTAACAATAATAATAAATTATGTTATTATTCGGAAGCTATTCTTTGAGGCGCAGTTAGCGGCTACATCCCACGTTTACATTGAAACAACTTTTAGCGCGAATCCCGCGGAAAATGCTTCACGGTAATGGTTCGAAATAGAAATTATTCAAACAATGAGCGTGATTTACGAGTAAACAGATTAAGGTGCCCAATCTCGAAGCTTCCAAACCCAGATATAAGATGTTGATACTGAATTCAACCTTACGTTTATTATAATAAGGCTGATGATATTTGTCTTAACTTTATAATTAGGTAGGAATGGATATATAATTGCTTTTGAAATTTGAGTTTATCGTTGTGGTATGAAAGTTTAATTTTCTCTGCATGTATATGAGGATGGAACATGTTGGCTGCACTTCTCAAGGCTCCTCGCAGTCTTTTAGCGTTCGTTTACAAACATTGGAGTGTACTGCTTTTCGTTTAAACCGGTGTAAGATTAAATAATTTTCATAAATAAACAAATTTTGTATATCAGATTTGACGTAAATAAGTCACATTGTATTATTTGAGCAAGTTGTTCGTTTTGTTGGCACGAGGAAGGGTATAAATAGTTCGCACGTAATATTTGTTTCAAATAACCAAATGTTTTATATTAATTACGTAATCGGTAATCTTATTATATAAATCGTATTTCTAATGCTTCGGCGACATGTGAACAAACTTGACTTAATTTATTTCGGCTACGAAGGGCTGCAATATGGCGGATGGCAACCTGCTGTGGTGAATCGCTGCCTCCCGCGGCTTCGGACTAACATAATTGATAAAATTCTTACACTAAGCAATAATTATATCTTCCACGCATTCCTTTATTTTACGGTATAAATATTTTTATTTATATCATGTGAATTGAAATCCGATTATATTGAAACTGTGAGAAACATTCATTGATATCAAATATAACATAAAACCTTGTAGCTATATTTATCAAGACTATTAAATGCATAGGAAAGTTAATTGCTTAATTATAAAAAATAAAAAATAAACAATACCACAGAAATTAAAAAGTAAACGAATAAAAAGATTATGTTTTATAATCGAGACTAATCTATCGTCTAATTATGACATTACCGTACCTATATTATGATTTATGATACAATGAAGTCACAATAAGCATGAATATACAAGAATTTTCTTTCTTAAATGAAGATAATCGTAAGTTTTTCAAGCATTAGAATGTAGGTACACAGAAAAAAATAACAACTTTATCAAAACTGTGATCCGTAATGATTAATCCAATGCTAATAAAACAATAAGTTTTTTTTTTAAATAGTAATTTTCATGTCCAAACTGGTCATAGGTAGGTAACTATATTTATTTGAAAGAAAAATATTATGAATACTTGTTTAAACATATAAACTGTATGTTATGCGTTTAATATCTACTTTTTATTAAAAATCACAAAATATAATACATAATAAAAAAATAAATAAAAAAGATACTGTTTATATGTAAAATGATTTTTATATACCTTTTTGTTAATATGGTGGAGTATTTTAAAAATTTAAGGAGACAATTTTGATTATTTTAATTATTGATTTTGTTTTGATTATTTGGGTCTTTCTGAATGGATGGTGTTAACGTTTAGTTTAGTACTTATTGCTATAATTGTTTTAATGTTATAAGACGAGTTCTCGTCATCCTAATAAGTCAAAAATGTGAGTTATGAAGAAACTTTTTTTTATATACAGAATAGCTAATACGTGGTCATTTTGATACTGGCAACTTCATGGTGGGTGTATGACTTTGAAATACCTTTAAGATAAATAGTTAATTCAGAATTTTATTTAAAATACACTCTTATTTTCTTATATATATGTACTGACATTTTTTTTAATGTCCTAATGGTATCTTCTTGTGTTACTTATATGAAAGTCCAGTGCATTCAACATTCAATCGACATACGCAAAATTGTATATAATTAGAACTCACTCAGTAAATGTTGTGTTTTTTAAAAATTTCTTTCATATTAATAAACTGTTACCATTACGTATTTAAATGAATGTTTTAAAATTAAGTTCAATTTTTCATATCTATACTCATGGAAGTTATTAAAATGGCGTAATTTTAGAATATTTCTCGTGGAATTCTATTTAGTTTTTGAATAAATTATAAATATGACTGCATACAGCATTCTTATGACAAAAAGAATGATAGAATTTTGATCCCTGTAAGTACTCTACGTATAAATATTTTAAACAAAACTCATTAAAAGTAAAACAGGCGAAAATATTAATAAACTGTTATAAAGATCTTGAGAAACCGAACAAACAAAAAAAATATTTTTTATATCATGACATTTTCAGTGACATAGTAATAAATCTTTTATGACTTCTATTTTGGATGATGTAAATGCAAATAGGTATAATAGATAGAAAATATATATTTTTTAATTAAATGAAGTTTTATGTTAAATTGTGAGTAACATTATATACTGCCTCTTATTTTCAGAAGTCTTTTCTATTCGGCTACTACTTGAATGGTTGTGTTATATAAATTGTTTAAGACTGCTTTTCTGCATAGTACCTACCTATATTTGTTAGTTATGAGAGATAATTCTCGTTGTTTAAATTTTATTCATAATACTAGAATTTGCGTTGTTCAGCAGCATAGCAGCTATATTAAGGATTCCAAAGAAATAATGTTATGTAGGTATTCAATAAAATAATTAAGAAAAAAATATAATTGCGTTGTCACATATTGATATCGAATAATTACACAAAAGTTGCAAGGAATATTTTAAAATCCATACTTAATCGTTAATTGTTATTATTTTTATCGCTACAGATTTAATTGGTAAACTAACTTTTCATTCATTATCGCATTAGTGAATATATTTTTGCTTAATATTTCTTATCTAT